AAATGGAAAAAACCCCATTTGTGGAGAAGACAGTAGAAAGGCTAGAACTATTATGGCTACATTTGAGTCTTTTGAATTTGTTTTCTTGACACAATTGATGCTTGAAATATTTGGTTATACAGATGTATTGAGTTAGGCTTTCCAGAGAAAGGACACAAATATTGTTAATGCCATGGCTCTTGTTTCTTTGACTGAGGAACATTTGCAAAGAAAGAGAGATCATAAATGGGAAAACTTTTTCGATAAGGTATATATATTCCTTTTGTGCTAAACATGACATTGTAGTTCCCGATATGAATGATTTGTATGAACCCCGTGGAAGATCGAAATGCTTCTTTGCAAAGGCTAAAAATCTTCATCGTTTTTAGGTTGAAATGTTTCTATCTGTCATTGATTTGCAACTTGAAGAGCTTAACAATAGGTTTAATGAGGCAAAACATGGAGTTACTTTCTTGTATTGCTTGTTTAAATCCACTTAATTCTTTTGCGACTTTTGATGAGAACAAATTTGTTATGCTTGTCGAATTATATATCCAAATGAGTTCTCGAAAAACGATTTGGTAACTCTAGCCTTTGAGCTTGATTTTTTTGTTGGTGACATGCGAGGATGAAAGGTTTTGAGATGTCAAAGATCTTGGGGAACTATCCATGAAGTTAGTTGAAACCGAGAAACATGATTCATATAAGCTAGTTTACATGCTTTTAAAACTAGCCTTGATTCTTCCCGTTGCAAACGCAAGTGTGGAAAGATTCCTCGATGACTATTATGAAAAACAAAATGAGGAATAGTATGGGTGATCAATTTATGAATGATTGTTTAGTTACATATATTGAGAGGGACTTGTTTTTGCAAGTTAGTGATGACTATGTAATTAATCGCTTTCAAGTTATGAAAACTCGTATGCATTTGTAAGATTTGATGTGAAACATATGTAATCTTTGTCTTTTCATTATTTGTAATAAAGATTATGTTTTTTTTTTTTTTTTTTTTTTTTTTTTTTTTTTTTTTTTGTATTGAATTTTTTTATATCTATTTAATCATTTTAATATTTTTTATTAAGTTTGTATCCCCATTACCCGAATCCCGGATCCGCTATTGCTTGGAATTCTAGTTCTAGGGTTTCTACTTTGTGAACTGAGGAAGTGAGAAGAGAGAGCGTGTTTTATTATTATTATTATTATTATTATTATTATTATTATTATTATTTTTTATTTTTTTTTTAATTACTTGTATATGGGGCCTGACAACTACAACATTTAATATTTTAGCCAAAGAAACCGGTTATCTAAGAGGCCAAGTCTCTTTTACAATTTTTTTTTTTTTTTGGTACCGTCCTGATCCGCCACTGCCCAGGCTATACCAAACAGACCCTTAAACTCAAAGTCTAAAAAAAACCTTTCTTTTTGAAACTAAGATTGAAGTCTATATGCTTGGGAGAAAACTGTTTTTAATTTACCAGATAATAAGCGGAAACTTGTCGGAGAATAGGACGCTACAACAGAACTATGGTGAGCTCCTATTTTTCAAGGAAGGGAAGCGATTTATTTTAGAAAAGAGAGAAGAATGCTTTTTTTTTTTTTTTTTTTTTTTTTTGTAAGGTATATCATCTCTCCTTTTAAATTTATTATGCATCTTATTGCATCATTTTGTGTCACAACATTTTTTGCTAATTACGTACTTTGTATCAGCTGCTTTTTCTTCCTCCCAATTACTGCACTTTTTTACTTTAAGTTGTCTAATTGCATTAATGATATTCTCGTAAGAAATTTTATCTCTTGAAGTAGAACCTGCTACACTCATCTTGTTATTATTTATTTATTTGTGAAATTGGTGTCAAAATAGTTAGTGGCAATCAAAATGAAACATAGAGAATATTAATTAATTTTTCCAAAAGTCCTTCGTAATTGTAGGTGATAAAAAATGTACATTATGTACATCATACATAATTGGACACAAGATAAAATATGCATGTTATGGGATGGACAATAAAACATGATTAGTCGTTACATATATTTAATCGTACCTACATCAGATGAGAAGACTACCTATTGGTAGTTTTTTATCTTGTATATACCACTTCAAATGTATACCATTCATCACTATAAAGTAAAACAAGCCCACATTGCTAATCCTTGTATCCAAAACAGATACAAAGTGTACGTATAATATGTACTCACTATATATACACACACTACACAATCGCTATGTCAAACTTTTGTTGCCCTAAAATTTCAAAGCTACATATGAACATATATAAGACAGCTGATACAACACTTGAACAACCATGATTCCAAAATTCAGACACATCACAATTAATAAAGAATGGACCTGAATGCAACGATAATGACCGATACAAAAGCATTTCAAACATGTCATATTGCTATGTGTCGACACAACAACATCAATTGCAAAAGAGGAAAATTAATTAAATGGACTTATTTTATGATTTTAGGGTTCGTAAACAAGTCAGTTTCAAATCAAGTCCTCCCTCAATTCCTAAAATTTTGATTCACTTAGCATTTTTTGCAGTCTCCAATGAACAACTTTGATCATAAATATCTTCAACTATATATTAGTAAAAATTATAAAAAGTTGATATTTGAAAAATTTATAATAAGAGTATTCTAATAAGATCTCACATGCTAATTTATTCATGTGTTAAAGATTATAAAATTTGGTCAAAGTTATATTATTTTGACCACATTAATAGTAAGCGAATCGAACTTTCAGAAACGGAGGTAGTATTACACAATACCAATTGTGTCATCATTTCGCTTTCATGCATGATCCAAACTTTGGAATTTCGAGATAAACTTACAAATCGGGTAGAAATAACTACTTTCGTTTCTTTTTAATTATAATAAAGGGGTATTATTTAGGAGGCATAAAAAATTCCTTTATTACAACTAAAAAGAAACATACACACTATATAAGAAATTGTGTAACGTATACAAGCTACTAAATTTTTTTTTTTCTTAAGCTAAAAAAACTTAATAATAGGTAGTAGAAAATTTAGGTGATTTCACTTCCTTCATATTCTCTTTAACTTATATGAAGAGCAATTATCTAATTATGTATTTCCTTGAGCTTAACTTGTTTAAATTTCATTGAATTCATTGATAGATTATGAACTCAAGTTCATGTATAAAGATAATTGACTAAAATGTTATAATTTGAAATGAATAAAGATGTGTAGAACGGACTCACCGTGAGTCCATCCACACAACGACGATGATTTTGAAGACGACGGAAAACAAATTTTTTCGATGACTTCCGGCGAATCTGCGGCAAGAGAGAACCGGATACGGATTCGAATTCAGGTTGAGTATTTTTGAGGTTGAGTTTAGGGATGGAACCAAAACCAATGGAGTAAGAAAGGAGGAGAGAGAGAGAGAGAGAAAGATTGGAGCGCCATGAATGGCAAACAACTCGTAGATGGGGGATGTCGGTGTTAACATCTTAATGAGGCCGTAGAGTAAGTTCATCGAATGTTCCGACCAGTTTCCGGTGGTTGGGTGGTAGGTTTAGGCGGTGGAAGTTAAATCAAAGGGTAAGTTTGATGGTGCTTGGATAAGTTTAGGAAAACAGGACTTGCTTCAAAAAATGCAGATATTAGATTAATGAGGTTAGATATTAGATTGTTATTTTAAGCTATTGTATTATAAATGTCAGATATTAGATTAATTAATGTTAGATATTAGATTATTAATGTCAGATATTAAATTATTAATGTTAGATATTAGATTACTCATGTTAGATATTAAATTATTAATGTCAGATATTAATTAAATTATTAATATCAGATATTAAATTACTAATGTTAGATATTAGATTATTAATGTCAAATATATATTAGATTATTAATGCCAGATAAACTGGACTCACAATGAGTCTGATCTCACACTAAACGTTCTCAATTTTAAATCATATATATATCGACAAATGTGTCTACATAAATATTTACTCTCCTGATATATAATGGATACATCTTAAATCTGTAAGTAAATCAAAAGGGTATTCTAATGTTCCTTTTTTTGTTTCTTACCTATCAAAATAAATAAATGGTTGGGAGACGAGAATAGAAACAAAATATAACATAATTAGCTCTAGGGTTTTATATTATTTACCTTTATTCCAAACAATATGAGTAAAAATTCAATTGCCTGAATCCAAAGAGTATTTAGACCTTAGATTGTGCAGAGTTCTATCCATAATTCACTATATTTCTTCAAGTTAATTCGATTAGCTTCTAACTACATGTAAAATAAAAGTAGCAAAAGCAACACTTTATCTGCTATAATCACATTACTCATGCACAAATTTTTAATTTTTAAGTCAATTGTTATACAAGTTTCTTTATCTTGCAAGAAAACGTTGTTGTAGCTCTTATAGCGACATGATCCAGATTATCTAGCAATCATACGTAATTAATTAAGTAATAATCGAAGTTATCCGCACATTTTGTCCAGAATGTGGTATATTTTAGCCTCTTTAATATTTATTTAAATTTGTTTATGTCAAATTAATGTGAATGGCTCAACTTTTTCATTCATCTCTATGCAATATATAATAATTTACATAAGATTCCATATCCTAAACACACTAGGAAAGAAATAGGATAAATATTAACATAAATAAGATATCTAAAGATATTACAATATTCTCTAATTATTATCTTAACATCTCCCTTAAGGTGGAGCATGTAGATCTCGAATGCCCATATTGGCAAGAAAAAACTCAAATTGCGCTTTTCCCAATGCTTTCTTATATATATCCGCTAACTGTATCTCCGTATAAACTTAAGACGGACAAATAACACCTTCTTAAATCGCATCACTTATGAAATGACAATCTGCTTCAATATGTTTTGTCCTCTTATGGAACACAGGATTATTCGCAATTTGTAAAGCCAACTGACTATCATACAACAACTTCATTCCCTACTTATGTTCTACTCCCAAATCGCGGAGCAATTGTTTTAACCACTTCAACTCACATGTCAAGGCCGCCATTTTCCTATACCCGCTTCTGTAGAAGATCGGGAAACTATATACTGTATCTTGGTTTTCCAAGATACTGGAGAAAAACCAAGTAATACAAACCAATCAGTCAAGGATCTAAGAGTCAACGAACAACTAGCCCAATTAGAGTCACACCATCCTTCCAATTGTAATGCACTATCTAAACGTAGAAGAATCCCTTGACTTGGACATTTCTTCAAATAACGAACCACTCTCAATGCTGCTTCCCAATATAAATGGTCCTCTTTCAGTGCTTGCATAAATTGTGACAATGTATGCTCCGAATACGCCAAATCTGGCCTAGTGACAGCCAAATAAATCAAACGTCCAATCAAGCGTCTATATCTCTCTCCATCGGGAAAAACTTTTCCTCCTACCATGGCCAGCTTATGATTCTGCTCCATTGGATAGTCCGTCGGATTCGCACCTAACAATCCCGTCTCTTAAATAATGTCTAAGGCATATTTTCTCTGACACACATAGAAACCATGTTTACTCCGTGCCACCTCTAATCCCAAAAAATATTTTGGAGCACATAAATCTTTTATTTTATAGCATTGTTACACCCAAAAATCAGATTTTTGACTTTTGTTTGACTTTCTTGACTGAGGTAAGAGGTTTTTAGAGTAAGTAAGAGGTCTTTAGGTCGAATTGGACAAGACATAAAAGCAACTGGGTTGATATCACTTAGAGGCCCAATAATATGGAGGCCGGTTTAGGAGGCTAGTGGATGATTTTATTTTCAAAGAAGTGTTGGCGCCAAGAAGCACAACAGTACAACAATTATGGGAGTCAGTCATAACCGCTCTATTTCGCCTATAATTAGAAGTGCAAGGATTAAAAGAGGACATCACAAAATCAATCAACAACAAGAATTTCATTTCTTTTAAGCTTTCTTCTTAGCTTTTCGTAGTTTTCCTTGGCTTAGTAGCGAAGCAATAGTGGTGTAGTTTATCACGTAGCATGTATTGAAAATCGTTCGTCTTTTCCAATTGTATGATCATGGAGGTAACCTCTCCTTCAACTTGTACAATTGTAGACTTGTCTCTATCCCTTAATTAATGGAATGCATTTGTATCTTTTGTCATATATATTTATCTACTCGTTTAATTGAGCAATCTAACTTGTTTTACTTCTTTTGGGAAAGCTTCCATATTATTTTTATTTTTACGTTAGCAAGGTTATCAATCTTTGAAACTGGTAACTCGAGGGGCATCCCCCTAATACTCTAGAACAAGATAGAGTATTTAACTTGTTGGTAAAGAAAAATATTTACCTCAAAAAGTTTTTTGGCGACCACAGTGGGAAAACACTAGACTAAATCCATTTAACTTTGTTAATTTGGAAGTTTTTTCCCATGGCTCCTAAGCGTTCAACTCATAAAGGAAACGCTAAGAAAGATGATAATTCATCAAAACACAATCCTGAGACTATTTTAGAGGATCAATTAGATCTAGAAAATCAACTGCTAATAAAACACATGGCACACTCTTTCGAATCATCGAGCCTCATACACAAAGGCAAGATGAATCGGTTCTAGAAAGAGTAGATGGTCAATCTCCTACTAGACACTTACTCAACACAATTTACGCTAAATATGTGGAAATCGTGAAGAGTCTGATGGAAGATATAAAACAAAATAATACAGAGCAGTTTGATAACTACTATCGTCATGGTAGAAGAAACCGCTCGAGTGGTAACTGTCGAGTTGAGAAACTTTGACTCTATTACCCAACAAGTGGTTACCAGGTAGATTGATAAGATTATTCTAGATATTAATGATACACTGAACGATAATAACGTGGCATTATCAAAGAGTGTAGCATCAAAGTAGTTACAAGGTTTGAACCTTTAGAGGAGAAACATAACCAACTTAATGGGAAATTGATGAATGTTTTAACCACTTTAGGTAGTGGGATTACTGAAATAAATCAAAGGGATAACGTCCCTCTAGGATACCCTAGAGTCAAGAATATGACAAGATCTCATAAAAATCTGCCCCCTATATTAGTTCCAAGAAGTATCCCTCCTATTGGTTCTGATAAGGGGTATAGGAGTCAGGGGAAAATTAATGGTCCAGGGCCAGGTTATGAGTCAGGCTATAACCATAATGGTCAGGGTCCATCTTCTTCCTCCTTGCCTCCACTGGTTACCACATACCCATTAACCTCTTCAATGGGTAACATACGTCCTTTAGGAGTAGAGATTGGTGTTAGTTATGCCAACTATGGTATTGGAAATATGTCAAATCTAGCATGCCATACACAAGTTGTTGTATCTGCACAAAGGATGTCCTCTCAACCTATTGCATGAATGGCTAACAATCATCTACACAACATGGGAATTATAACTAATATCCATATGGATATCAAGACTCTGTCCACCCTACACATGTTCCTATGGAACTAGGGTAAGGCTAGTGGTCTATATGGAAAAAGATATCCAACAATGTCTCAACCTAATCCTAATACTTTAGGAGGGACACGTGTTGGTATGAAAGTTTCCACAATCCTCAAAGGAACCAACATAATACTTTCATAAGCAAGATACACCAGTTCAACCTAATTAACCAATTAATGCAAGGTCAACCTCTACAAATTGGACAGGAACCCCTGCTCAGACAAGTGGAGAAAATGATCTAGAGGGTTATGGGCTAGAACGGTGGATATGCTAGAAGGGGAACCTGCAGTCCATATCCTGAATGGATTGATAGGATGCATCCATTCCCAAGAAGGTTTAAGGTTCCTGAATTTTTCCCTCTTTTCTCTGGCGACATTACAATGTCTACTAAGGAACAGTTAGTCAGATTCAATTGGCAGTGTAAAGAGGCAGCAGATAATGAATTTTTAAGCTTAGAATGTTTTTCAGCTCTCTCACTAGTACTTCATTCTCTTGGTTTACTCACTTACCACCATATTCAATTCAAAATTGGCAAGATATGCAAACACAACGGTCACTATAGGTGATTTAGCCAAGATAGTGCAAGAAAAGGTGGAGCCTGTAGGAGATTACATTAACAGATTTTCAGAATGCTAAGATTAGATGTCACTTAAATATACCTGAATTAGAGTTTGTGTCTATCGTCCAAAAGGGTTTGTCTTTTCCTTTCAGGAAAAAGTTTAAAGGACAATACTTCCTTGATTTTGTTGCTTTTTCTTGCGTTGTAATAGAGATTCTTAGAAGAAGAGTCTAGATCTATACATAAGTTTTATGCTAGCATGGCTGAGGAGTGTGATCAGGAAGATGATGTGTATGAAGCGGCAATAGCCGAGTTTGTATAGGGTCCTTCATTTAAATGTCCTTTAACTAATAAAAAGTTTACTTATAAAAAAGATTTAAAATCTGATCAAAAGAGGGAATACACCTTCAACATTATGAGATGTGATGAAATCTTTGATTGGCTTTTGAGTCATCAAAAGATTAAGTTACCAGGGAGGGATAAAACTAGAAGTCCTGACGAGGTTAAAGGTAAGAACTACTGTAAATGGCATAACGCTTTTACTTATATGACTAGCGATTGCATAATATTTAGAAATAAGATTCAGGATGAAATTGATAAAAAGCACATAAATTTTCTTGATGAGAAAGTTAGCTCTTGCGAATTAGAGTCAAAGTCTGCACCTGTAACACCCCCCAAATCTTCCTTTACGAAAATACTAGTATAATATGTATAATTATACCGTAGAGATAGACTGAGGCATATTACTGCCGCGTGATTACTCAAGGCTACTGAAAATATTTAACTCAATAACAAACTTGCAGCGGAGAACTCAACTCTTCTTTTATCAATACTTATAAAATAGTAATAACCATTGTAAACAGTACTAAAAAATAGAAACAAAGACCAACATTCCTAACTAGGTGAAGCATATCCCGGGACTCCCAAATGCTTTATTGACTCCACCTAAAAATAGTTAACACTTCTTACCATTAATCAGAACAAGGCGAACCAAAACATATAGGAAATACGGATTAGCAAAATATGCTAAGTACGATAAGTTCAATATATGTAAACACAATTTATTTGCAAACATGCTTTTAAAATCAATTCCAATAATAAATCCAATAATTCCAAACTTATAAATTCAAAACCAATTCTCAAGATTCTCAAACAATTCCAAAAACATAATAATAATTTGAATAATAATTCAAGTGATAAAAACCAATTCCTTTTTTAAAACCCAATTCCTCTCCTAAGTGTGCATGGTACGACTGTCGCGTGTCTACCAAAAATAAACCTAACTAAAACCTCCTAAAATGTAGTAGGGTAATCTAGGGGCGATCCCACAGAGAAATAATTATCAAATTATTACTTGTGTATGTTAATAACCCCTAATTTGAAGAATGACTATTATGATCTAATATATAAAACTACGGACTTGAAAATAAGTTAAATATGGAGATGCAAAATTAACAGTAAGAATAAATATTAAAAATCAAGAGTGACGAAATAGGGATCGGGAGATACAATATAGCATTGGAAAATCGATTGATCATCGAATCATATAAATCATATTTTTATCTCAATGTTAGCCGATGAACACAAACAAGCATTCGACACTTCCCTTAATTGCAAATAAACCAAACAAACTCTTGGAATATTTTCCAACTAACGAACAATCTAGAACAAGCTCTCTAGACTCGATTAATTAGCAGCATTAATAACTAGGAAGTAGCTAACTTAAGCCACAAATCTCACAAGCTCGGATTCGTGCAACTTAAAGGGTTGATAATCATAAGCATCGGACAAGCTACAGTCACTCACCAAACACCTAAGTGCTACTAAGGAATATTAATCCGGACAATTACGTATCACAAATCAATATTCTAGCAATTAAATTAGCAAACTATACTAAAGATGGCCGGTCTAAAATATAATTTAACCAATTCATACCAAAAAAAAAAAAAAAAAAAAAACAGATTACCACTCCAATCAAGATATAAACATAATAAACTCAGATCATAACATTCTTATTCTCACAACACAATAATCTAATGTATACTATATCTCCGTACCCACTAATAATCTAGCCTAACATACTGAAAAGTAAAAGTATAACAATGAAAGCTATATAAATCATATTACTCAAAGAAATTCAGAAAATAAATATAAACAAGTATGAATCCAACAATACTTGAAGTTACTTCTTAATCTACTACTAATGTTGATGAACAGAAGTAAACTACCACCAAATCCAACTATTGAAATACACATGCAAGAATTGTAGACTAAAAAAAAAAGGAATCCAGAATACCAAATCAATGAAATAGAAACCTCCAACGAAGTCCCTTATTCAACCAGCCCAAAAGACAAGAAAAGCTTCTTTATCCCTGTAGCAATCGAAGGATTACGGAGCAGATAAGTCACCTCGACTTCGCCGTCCTCTCCTTTGCTTCACCGCTG